CTTGAGTGCATGCCTGAGAGGGCTTAGAATACAGTGAAAGCCTCTGTCAAGAGTTTTATCATGTCTTTCCTATCTGTTCATTCTAGCCAATCTCTACTACATTACCACAAGCAAAAAAGAACTCTCTTTACAACTGGTTAAGTGAATATATAGTTATGTGTGGTTATGGGTAGTTTTTCAGTTCCAAAGTTAATTCCAACCCCTAACACACTCTTTAAAAAATTTTAAATATGGATTTTTATTTCAGAGGCTGAGGTGTTGGAAGCATTTGTCTAAATATCTGGCCTTCTTAATAGAAACTCTAGGCAGTTTAATGCCTTCTGATCCTCAGATATAAATTTCAGAAGAAAACTCTATTTTACATTTCTAGGAAACACCCAAAACTGCTTCTTAGAATTGTCCTCGAGGTTCTTCATTAAGATCCAGGAGGAGGAGGAGGAGATTTATGACAGTGAGAGATCACTCTCCGACTTCCTAGGGAACTCTCCGTCCAAGACACTTCCTAGTACCCAAATCTAAGGAATTACGTGTTGGTGGGATGAATGGTCCACGTGGTGACTATTTAAAGAAGCCATTTGACAGCAAAGGGGAAAATCACACCCCTTTGTCTGAAAAGATATTGTATCACCTAGGGACAACTATGGAAAGTGGTATTCAATATCCAAACTAAATAGGTTACAGCTAGAAAGAGTTTGGAAATAGGAAGCAGGATTTCCTCTCTATTTAATATTTATATTACATTAATTACATATTTTGCCCTCAAAAGCTTAAGAATAAGGCAAATCTTATCATCTGAAATTATTTTATAAATAACTTACCCAGTTGATAAGCAGAGTTAAACTGGTGTCAGAAGTTCTCTACTTTGTCAGCGATAAGGTGACAATAAGCTATTAAACAGCAATTATTTGTATATAGAATTTGAGATAGGTGTAATTTTGATAAGTTAATGGGAGTACTTTTTATGGTTATGCAATTCATCAATATTCTTGGGCTTCTGCAAATACAAATTCAGTTACTTAAAATGGTTTAACTCAGAGGAATTTATGAGTATTTTTTTGGTAGAATAAATGTTCTTTCTTCATTACATTCTTTCAAATAAAGAATTTTTACCCCTTTTTACAAGATAAATAAATTTAAAGAAAAAGTAACTACTGCATACTTCCTCCCCAACAAACACTCAGATACATAAGAAACTGAAAAACTGAACCTATCTTTTCTATCATAAGAATACTTTGGCTTTGGCAATCACACCAATATTTCTTGTACACCCGATTCTGTGGACTGAGATTTATACTTCCTAGCCATTCATTCATTCATTCATTCATTCAGCCAATACACATTTTGTGCCTCCTATATGCAAAGGACTATGGAAGCAGTAAAACCATGTATGATGTATCTCTAACATATCTCTTTGTAAAGTCAGGAAAGTGAACCCATGCACCTGCAAGTCATGATAGAAAGCCTTCCTCTAGAGACTGGCTGAATTTGATAATAATGGGTGAGTCTGAAGTAAATTATATTCTTGATGAGTTAAGAGGAAAGTCAGTTGTCATTTCTGTGAAATGAAAAGTTTATGAATTTCCTTCCTATGTTTATCCAGAACTGAGTATTAGAACATATTCCTTCATAAAGCATTCTCTGCTCACTGCAACTGGAGACTGTCTTTCCTTTATTGAGCCCCCATTATATATTATCTATATTTCTGCTATGGCACTTATCACATTTTAACTCATATTATTAGCTTTTGTATAAGTGTCTTATCTCCCTTTTGATGTTCCCTGGAAGAGACGTGTTTCAAAGCATTATCACAGTTCCTTGTACATATTAAGTGCATAGTAAATGTTACATAATAGAAAACAAGCTATCGAATAATGTTCCTCATAATAAGGACCCCTTGCATCAGCTACCCTGCATGCTTGTTAAAACTCAGATTCCTGGGCTATGCACCAGCTCTATTGAGTCAGAATCTCTGGTTGTGAAAATGGGAACCCACATTTGAGTGAACTTACTATAGTCTGAGAACTATGAATTTCAGGGTATCATGGAGTACAGTGTGAGATGGCAAATAGGTTTCACTTTGAGTGCTGACTCTGGTAGTGGGTGCTGTGGAGTGAAATCCCAAGGCTGAGCCTAGATAGACTCTGAGAAACTATGGCAATCAGTGTGCCACCATGTGCGGGATGCAGCAGGGGGAATTTTTGTGCAGCGTATTTGGCGTTTTCCGAGTATGTTAAACTCAGGATGGAGAGACCGTACCATTCTCTTAAGAATAATCGTAAGTCATCCTTGCAGAGGTCTTAGGGTCTGTAAGGTTTTTTTCTTCTAAAGTGTACATGTAAATTCCAGGAAATGGGGTTTCAGAGTGGCATATAAAAATTTAGAAGAAAAATGATAACATCTTTTGGGACAAATTCCATGCACCTGAAGCTTATTTAACTTAATGTGCTCTACAGTCAGGTCTGCACCAGCATCAGTAGGCTAGGGATTCTTAGTATGCTGGTGCTACCAATAACAAGGAGTAATTCCTACTTGCAGACCTGAAGGGACAAGGGAAGACAGTGGTCATCAGAACTCAAAAAGGGTAACAGTACAAAAAGCCTCTTGACAGGAGCTATGGCCTTTGGTAAAGACACAATCAACCTGCAGCAAAACAACAGGATGGGAGCTGAGAGAATTAATAGCTGGATCTCACTTTCGTTTACACTGCCATCTCCAACAAGAAGCTTCAACAGGGATCCTATTGATCCAGTACTTGTAAGTCAGCCTCCTGAAGCTAAGAGTAGGTGAGAAAGGTTGAAAGCAGATGTGGAAGAACGCAAGGAAGAAAAATGTGCCTGTCAGATTTGACTTTTACAAATCTGATGCCTTGTTTTATCTTGCCTTTCAGGAATCTCTTTTTAAGGTCTTGCTAAATCCTCTCTCCCCACACAACATTTACTTCAGTTGCCTGAGCTGAGACTCTGTTTCTCAGGTAAAACTGGGAGGACCACTGGGAATAATTATAATCCATTGATTGTATTGTGTGCCCCCAAAACTCATAGTTTGCAGCCCTAGCCTCTTATATGACTATATTTGGAGATGGGGAACTTTAAAGAGGTAATTAAAGGGTAGGGCCATAACCAAGAGGACTGGTGTCTTTATATGAAGAGACAGCAGGAGTGTATGTGCTTGGATGTGTGCACATGTGCACAGAGGAAAGGACATATGAGAAGCCAGTGAGAAAGCAACTATCTACAACCCAAAGAGAGAGGCCTAATGAGAAACCAATCCTGCTTGGCATCTTGATCTTGGACTTCCAGCCTCCAGAACTGTGAGAAATGAATTTCTGTTGTTAAGCCCTCCAGTTTGTGGTATTTGTTATGGCAGCTCAAGCTGGCTAATATACCATGTTTATAAATATCCTTTATTGAGCACCTTATGTTCTAGTTCTTTATGTATACTGGCAACTATTACTTCTAACACTCACAATCCTAGGTATTAAGTAGTATTAATACAATTCTCACAGACAACAAAGGTGAGCTTCAGAGAGGTTCCACACTCATCCTTCCTACTTACTGTACACCTCACCTGGTTGTCCTACAGTCATCTTAACTCAGTAAACACGAGATTGAAATATTTGCATCATCATAGACTCCTTCTTCTGCCAGCTCACTAAATTGGTCCAATTGGTTACTAAACCTGTGGTTTCTATCTTTTCATTGTTTCTCAAATATATCCTCTTCATTTGCACTATAAGGGCTCCCATAACTCAGTTCCTGATTACCACAGGAGATGGGGTTTCAGTAGGCTAGGGATTCTCAGTAACCTCCTAAACTAGTCTTACTCTCTTCCATCCTTCTCACTGCTACCTCAAGGCTTTCTCTAAAGAAACTTGTAATCACAAGATTGCCCTAAGGATATTCCATTGCCGTGATGTTAAAATACAAATCCCTAAGGTAGTTATGATCTGACCTCCAACTTCTCTTCCTCACCCCACCTAGCCTAATATTGAAAAGAACATGCTGCTTTAATTTGAATGCTGGCTTGACTTTACACTAGGTGTGTGAACTTGGGAAAATTAGCCTATCCATGAAATAATAATAGGACCTACTTTACAGGGTTGTTGTGAAGATTATATGTGCTTTTTATATATATAAAGACCTTGTATCTTCTCTGGCAAGTAATTTATTAAACATGAGCTGTTATCACCCCTCTCAACCAAGCATTCGCCCTTAAGTTTCCTCTGTCTGGAAAACCTCTGGCATCTTCACCATCTAGCTATCCCATTCTTTTCTTTCAAGATTCCGTTCAGAGTTCACATCTTCTAGGAAGTTTACCCAGCCCCATTCTCCTATCTCATTCGTCTCCACTATTTCCTTTGCAAACGTTTTTGCTCCTTCATTGCTTACACCTATCACTAGACTGTGAGTTCCTAAAGCAGGGACGCTGCTTTTATTTTTCAGGCACAACTTACAGACAGGTGCATACTTTCTGGATAACTACACGGAGAGCACCCACGTGTAATGAATCCGTAATTAAATGTTCCTAAAGTATATATTTTGTCTAGTGTGGCGATTTGCCCCGAATATGAGACAAGACTATCCTCAAAGTGCTCCCTGGGTTGGGGTCGGGGTTTAAAACCTTAGGCAGTAGCCAAGAACTCCGGAGAAAAGGGGGTCCCTCTTGCCTTTCCCACCCCCGAAAACTCCTTGGTTAAAGTCTCGGATGTTGCAACCGCGGACGAATATAAGAGCTTGGGACTGGCGCTCTGTAACAGCGTGTGATCGCTACTCTTCTGCGCCTGCGCCGCCGCAGCCGGCGTGCGATTCCTCAGTAGAGGATAAGACCACGGGTCCAGTCTCGGCATCGGTCGGTGGAGCCAAAACGGACGATGCGGAAATGACGTCAAGGGACGCGAGCGCCGGCGGCGCTGCCGCGCGGTGGCTTCTGGGTACCGCGCGCTTTCCCGCACCTCGCCTGTCCCCTCCCGCCTCCCGTCCCCGCCCCCTCGGCCGCCTCGCTCCCTGGCGTGACTCGGCACTGAGAGCCCGTGGAGAAGACGCCGCCGCCGCCAGCTCCCCTGGCCAGGCCTCGGCCTCCTGGAACCAGCTCCCTCCCGTTCCCGGGTCTTCTCCATCAGTTTGGAAGCCGGTGGCGTCGCGGCCGCCCCGCCGGGCTCTCTGAGAATGGTGGGAGTGAAGCCGGTCGGAAGCGACCCGGATTTCCAGCCGGAGCTGAGCGGCGCGGGCTCCAGACTCGCCGTGGTCAAATTCACCATGCGAGGGTGAGGCCGGGCGCGAGCTCTGTGGGCCCGGTCTGTCCGTCCGTGCTTTGCTTTCTCCCCTTCCCGGTGCCGGCTTCCTTGCGGTCTCCTGCTCCGGATGTCCGGCGCTGGCCGCTGCTCCAGGCCGCTGCCCAGCTAGGCCGCAGTTCTTGAGTGTGAGTCCCGTTTGTACATAGGGTGTCTCTGGCGGGCTCTGAGGCCTGGCCAGCCGCTGTCCTCAGCCCAGGAGCTCCCCGCCCACCCGGACGAGCTCTGCCCTGGGAGGTGGGCTGCCGCTCGTTTCTTCCAGTCTGTGGCCGTCTCCCACAGCCATCCTGCTTGCACCTGTCTCCTTTACAGGGAGCTAGCTGTTATTTGCATCTTAAAAACCCCACATCTTATTTACCGAACCTCTTATTCTCTTCACCGCTTGCGTTTCTGCAAAGCCTTTGGAAGATTCAGATGGGGCTATCCAACTAAATGGCGTGGGGCTTAGTCGGAAAGCTCAGCTAATGCATTTTAAATTAAGTTGATGTTGGGTCATGATGCTTTTTAATTTTAATGGTTTTGTTACTCTTTGGGTTAATAACTTTGTAACTTAGGCTTCCCTACGTCGGCGATTGCATCTGATCACAGAAATACAGTACAGGTAGACAGGAACCCAGGTATCTTGTTTTGACCACATAGACTCCATTTTCGACTTGATAATTTAAGAGGACAGGGTTCTTGAAAGATGTTAGCAGGTTTTGGTAAATCTCAATATAATTTATAGGTCGCAGAGCTAGTGAATCTTCTCTATTGGATGTGTGAGAGTGACATGTTGGAATTAGGCATTCCAACCGAGATTCAGCAAATGAGTGTGTTTGCTGACCTCCCCTGGTGTCTGTCAGTGCCTGGTTAGGAGTATTAAGTAAATCAAGTAGACCTCTCATCCTCCTAACTAGGCACTGACAGACACCAGGCATTATTTACATTGCACTAACTTGGAGAAGCCTACAAGGTATCACTGTTTATGCAACACATTTTAATTGTTCAAGTAACTATATAAACATAAGGCAATATTTTGATTCTCAGAGCAAAACATGATTCATAATTATTGGATATGATTAAATGTTCAATATATAAATGGTGGCATTAGGATTAGATAATTTTAGGGGTTGGAGGGATGCAGGTAGAGATGGATTTAGTTTTATGGCAGTACATCGGATTTTACCTGCGAAATAGGGTACCCATTTGTTACGTGGACTTTCACTTTTACGTTAGGAAGATAAAGATTTCATTATAAAGATAATGTCTAAAAGGAAAGTCAAAATTCTGTAGCTGTGTCTTCCCAGCCTTAGCAATTTTGTATTGTGTATATTTTTAATATGAGGAATATCAGGACATTAAGTACCTAGGCCAAAATTGGAAATGGGAAGAGATGATTTTAACAACGAATCTCATTCTTATTTCACTTTTCTAATTCTTGTCAGTGCGAGCACTTATACTTTTGTCTGTCAATGATGTACTCTCTTTTTCCTTTGCCATAGCACAGAGAGATGAAAGAGTAATAAAAAATTGATTAATTCAAATTGGAAAAATGGGGAGACATTGAGGACACACTTCCATTAGCAATGAGGTATCATTTAATTATAAACATAGGTGCAGTCTTTGATTGGTAAAGTACTGTATTATTATTTACTTTTAAAAAGGTATTTTTAGTGGAATGAAAATTTTATTTTCTTTGAAAAAACTGAGAGCAAATAAAATGTATGAATTTAGAGAACTAAGATCCAAATCATATTTAGGTAACATAACTTTGATGAGATTGTATTTGCCTTTAAAGTTCCTTTAAATATTTGACCATTAATGTATTCTTACACAAATTCTGTGACAATGTGACCCCAGATTTTTGTAAGTGGATGTCAGTATTGGACCCTCAAAACAGTAAAATCATGTAACAAACCTCTTAGGTGTGAGAAATTTCTTAGGAGAAACCTAATGTCTTACCATTTTAGACCAAGAAGATAGTTTTCTCTGGCATCTATTTACTTTCCAATCCTTTTAAGACTGTATTCCTCATTTTCCACTTCCTTGCTTACCCATCCTGTTAATTTAATTAAAACGCTATACAGTTTGTTGCTCTTCTGTTTAAGAATCTTCAGTGGCTCTCCAGTATTATTTTTCAGTTTTTTTTAATTGTAGTAAAATGCATGTAACATAAAATTTACCATTTTAACCATTTTTAAGTGTACAGTTCAGTGGCATTAAATATATTTACTATATTGTAACACCTTCATCACTATTTACTGGAATTTTTTTCATCTCAAGACAAAAACTCTGTACCCGTTAACACTAACTCCTAATCCCAACCCCTGCTAACCTCTCTTCTACCTTCTGTCTCTATGAACTTGCCTACTCTAGTTATTTCATAAAAGTGGAATCATAAGATATTTGTCCTTTTATGGCATATTTCAGTTAGCATAATGTTTTCAAGATTCATTCATGTAGCATGTGTCAGAATTTTCTTTTCTAAAGCTGAATAATATTCCATTGTATGTACATAACCACATACTGCTTATTCAGCTCTTTATGGTCATTTGGGCTGTTTTCACCTTTTGGCTATTGTGAATAAACCGTTATGAACATTGGTGTGCGAAGATATCTCTGAGTCCCTGTTTTCAGTTCTTTTGGGTGTATACCTACGAGTGAAATCGCTCAGTTATATGGTAATTCTGTGTTTACCTTTTTGAGAAACCACCAAACTATTTTCCAAAGTAGTGGCATCATTTTGCATTCCCACTAGCAATGCATGAGAGTTCCAATTTTCCACATAGTCACCAACACTTTTCATATTTTAATAGCCATTTTCAATCGATGTGAAGTGATACCTAGTGGTCTTTACATTTCCTTAATGACTAATGTGAGTATCTCTGCTTATTGGCTATTTGTTTATCTTCTGTTGTAAATGTCTATTCAAATCCTTGAGCTGGGAAAGTACTCCTTCACCAGATACATGAGTTGAAAATGTTTTCTTCCATTAGGTTGCCTTTTCACTTTCTTTTTTTTTTTTTTCCTTTTTTAAAATTTTGGTTTCATTAATATACAGTTACATGAGCAACATTGTGGTTACTAGATTCCCCCCATTATCAAGTCCCCACCACATACCCCATTACAGTCACTGTCCATCAGCATAGTAAGATGCTATAGAATCTCTACTTGTCTTCTCTGTGTTATACTGTCTTCCCCGGGCCCCCCACCACTACGTTATATGTGCTAATGGTAATGCCCCTTTCCCCTCCTACTCCCTTCCCACCCATCCTCCCCAGTCCCTTTCCCTTTGGTAACTGTTAGTCCATTCTTGGGTTCTGTGAGTCTGCTGCTGTTTTGTTCCTTCAGTTTTTTGCCTTTTCACTTTCTTGATAGTGTCCTTTGATAACACAAAAGTTTTGAAATTTTGATCTGTTTTCTTTTGGCGCTTGTGCTTTTGGTGTCATATCCAAGAAGTCATTGCCAAATCCAGTGTCATGAAGATTTTCCTCTATGTTGTCATCAAAGAATTTTATTTTTTAGCTCTTAAGTTTAGATGTGTGATCCATTTTGAGTTACTTTTGTTAATGGTGTAAAAGGGTACTACTTCATTCTTTTGCATGTGAATGCTGTTTTCCCAGTACCATTTGTTGAAAAAACTCTTTTCTCCAGTGAATGGTCCTGACACCATTCTGTATTTTTTGGAGCAATGAAAGTATTCAACATTTATAACTTAGCATGTGTAGGGACTTGTTTAAGCACTTATATTGTCTCACTCATTCATTCCTTAGAATAGTTTTTGAAATTACCCCCATTTTACGAATGAGTAATTTCAGTCACAGAGAGGTTAAATAACTTGTTTAAGCTCCCATTGCTGAATGCACTATTTGGATTGTAGAGTGTTATCCTTGTTATTCCCAGCTGAAGCAGAAAGGAAACACAGGTTCAGCTGTGTATTGCACATAGCCTCACATTTTTCAGTAAATAGTGCCTTGAATAATTTAGTTAACAGCTATGCCTGCAAACTAATCTTAAGACCCAGGACAATTCAGTCTCTTAGGCTTTTTCCCTACCTGTAATGTGGGAATAATATGACAACCTAATTTATTTAGAGAATGAAGTCATATATGTGAATTATATACTGTGGTAGTGTATTTTTATAACTGGCATCTCTGTACTACTACTAAGTATACCCAGATACATTGAGTGATTATAAGCAGTGCAGTGTTAGGTGAGGTCAATTTTAAAGTTTTAGTTTTGTGGGCTTGGTTCTGTTTCAGTTGCAGAAAGCTGGAGTGTTTGATATGTTCTTTTCTCTCAAAAAGCATAATTCAGAATCCTTCCTACATATCTGTTTTACATAGTGGATTTAACAAATAAGCTTTCCTTCAAAAAGGTTTAACTGTAGAAAATAACTTTTTGTTGTTCTTTTTTAAACCTCTGGACCGGATGGTCTCTGGTCTCTTCTACAAGTTCAAAGTCCTTTGATTGTGTATGAAGAGCTGTGAATCAAGGGCTGTGCCAGAAAAAAAGTAAAATCCTGAAATTCAGGCATACTTAGGGCATGATAATTTAGACATGGGAAACATCTTAGCGAATCTAGTCCCTTCTCATTTTATACAGAGAAATCAGATGACTTATTCATGAGCTCAGCTAATAATGGAAGTTTAAGTTTACTTTTACTAATGTTAAAGGAGGCAAACATCTTACTTAAATAACCTTTCAGTTCATTTGAATGATTTGTGTGAAAGTATGCTGCTGTATATATTTGTGCTTCTGTGTTCTATGACTTACTTTGACTTGTGACTACTGTTCCAATCTGTGGTTGCCAGCTAAAATCGAAGGATCTAGATAAGGTTAAATTTTGAAAGGGAACAGTTATTTACAAGATAGCCATTATTTCAGTACAGTCTGTTCAGCAACAAGATGTGTTCCTTTAACATCAGTTTGCTCATATGGGATTGGTGAATAGAGCAATGATGTCCCCAGAATGTGGAAGTTGTGTTGGTTCATGTTCTATTTTTTATACGTAGTGAAGATCAGGAATAGAAATAGAATGTTGTAGCAGGTGGGAGGAGAACCCTCATTCACACAGGGAGGCTCTCTTTCAGGTTTATTTTAAGAAAGTTAAAGTTAACAAAATTAAATATGAGCTGCTGCACCCAGCATTTGTTCCCCAGGGGGATTCAGTCTCCCTCACGCACTTCCTCTTGTCCCTGCCTTAGTGGCAGCCCTACTGGCTCAGAGCACCACTTACACTTCATTGTTTTTATTCATTTTGAATATTCCCTGAGGTAGGTAGTCTGTAGATCTGAGCTACGTGCCTGGCAGTTCAGGTATTTCCAGAGTACTATTGTTTTTCTTTGGGGTATTTTCACAGAGTTGCATAGGTTTAAATGGTTTGCCTCAATCTTACATATCCTATTAGTCTTCTTATTTTGAGTGCATGCTTTTGCAGAAGGAAGATTTTCAGGAATGAGGATAGTATACTATAGCATAAATACCTGTGCTTCGTATGTGACACCTATTTAAATGCAGTTAATGTCAAATTCTCTATTCTCAACTTATTTAATGTTTCAAAATAAAACACCTGTTCATCATAAAAAAGCAATGGATGCAGAGGTATGGATAATTAAAAACTTGCCCCTCACCTCTTTGTCTTCCTTTTCCAATCCCACTTTGCAGAAGTAATTAACATTATTGTGCAACCCATCTAACTTTTTAATACATATTTTATACACACACATCTTTTTAATGTCATAAGAGAACATTTTACCATGAGACTTAGTTTTCTTTTAAACAGTACAAATTATCCTTATCCCCTGGTACAAATGTACTGTAAGTTTTTAAGTGTTTTTCTGTGATAGCTTATTTAGATTTTCTAATTTTTTACTATTACAAGCATTGCATTGAATTCCTTAAACATACTATTGTGAACTTGAGTAATTGTTAAGATTGACTTTTAGAAGTGCGATTGTTGATCTGAGTTGTGTTCATTTCACATTGATAGATAATTCTGACCAAATGGCCCTTCTATGAGTATCATCCAATTTGTACTCACATCCATAGTACTTAAGATTTATTAGTAGCTGGAAGCATTCTGCTTAACTGAACATAGATTTAATCAACTGTTTGTTTCTTAATAATTTAGTCGTAGTGCCTAGTAGAGGATTGTTACATCCAAAAATCTACTTTTGAAAGCACCAAATTTACTATTAATAAGTTTATTGTTACTTTCTTAACTTTTTGGTGTGAGGTTTAAGGATAGCACAGGATGAAAATGTTAAGAATGAAGATACAATCACAGTTTGAGTATAAACATTTGTGAGTTTGAACATTTGGTTCTTTAGAATTTGCTTTTCTTTGGGTTTCTTCTGCTAAAACCAAGACTTTTCTCATTTTTTTGAACTTTTGCTGAGATACACTTAGTGCACAATTATAAATTGGTAGCATAATGAATTTTCACAAATTGGACACACACACCTGCCAGCTTTTGGATGAATTAAACATTACTAGCCTCTTAAAATCTCTCTAATGCCCCTATCCTGTCACTTACTCCCACTGAGGTAACCATTGTTCTGATTTAAATACTATTGATAAATTTTGCTTGTATTTCAACTGTACAGAAATGAAATCATACAGTCTACTTCTTTCCTTAGTATTATTTGTGAGGGCCGTCCATGTTTTCCATGAAGTTTTCCATCAGTCAGTTTTGCTTTTGTATAGTATTCCACTGTATGAATAACTACAGTTAATTTACTCATTCAGTTGTTGATAGGAATTTGGGTAATCTCTAATTTTTTACTGTTAGATATATTGCTACTATCAATATTTTTTCAGATGCCCTAAGACAAACATATGTAGATAACAAACAACTATTTCTGTTGTTAATATATCTCAGAGATGGTTATAGGTAGGCATAAATCTTGCTTTAGCAGATACTGCCGGTTCTTTTCTTCCCCCATAAAGTCGTTATACCAGTTTGCACTGTCTAACAATTCAGTGGCTCCCCATTCTTGACAATGCTTCATTCTTGTTTTAGTTGTTTTGGTGGGAGTAGTTTTAATTTGCATTTCTCTGGTTTCTCTAGTGGCTAACGAAATAGGACATCTTTTCAAATTTATTGACTCTTTGGATAACATCATTTGTCAAGTACCACTTCAAGAGTTTACCCATTTTTTTCTTTTGGGTGTCAGCCTTGTTCTTAATGCTTGTAGGAGTTCTTTACATATTAGGTGTATAATCATTTGATATGTTTTATAGTTCATTTGTTTGTTTTCTTTACCAGTTTTTGGGTTGTCTTTTCACCCTCTCAGTGGTATCTTGATGAACAAAAGGCCTTAATATTTTACAGTTTATCAATATTCCTTTATATCATTTCTTTGCTTTTTTCTCTAGGGCTTTTTGTGTTTTATGAAATCTTCACTTAACTCTGTGGTTTTGAAAATATGCTCTGTAGTTTTTTCTAAAGGATTTTCCTAAAATCCTTACTGTTTTACCTTTCACATTTAGATCTAAAATCCATCTGGAATTGGTTCTTGTGTGTGGTGTGAGATAGTGGTCAAGATTCAGTATTTTCCCATGTGTATATCCAGTTGACTCAAAACTGTTTATTGAATCCTTTCTCCACTGCACTGCTTTGTCAACTTTTTTATAAATCAGGTTAGTGTGTATGGAATGGGTCTGTAATACCTGGTAATGTAATTCCATCAGCTTTGAACCAAAAATGGTTTAGGCTATCCTTGGTATTTCTCTATAAATTTTAGAATTTAAATTTGTTAATTTCTCCAAGAAACTGTGTTGGGATTTTAATTAAATTGACCCTACAGACCAAATTGAGGAGAATTGACATCTTGGCAATACTGAGTTTTCCAATTCTTAAGCATAGTGTATTATTCCATTTATTTAGAGTTTCTTTAATTTTACTGAGAACAAAGCTGGAAGACTTCATGCAATTAGACTTCAAGATTTCTTATAGACTGGAATTGATAATTAAGGCAATGTGGTATTGATGTAAGTTAATTTAAATAGTCCAGTGGAAAAACTGGAAAGTCTGAAGCCAGGTTGATAAAAGTTTGTATTATTTTATGGTTTAATTGACAAGTTCTTTGGAGTATAAAATAGAACAATTTTTGGTGTTAATTTTACTGAGCATTCCTTTTATCTTCCTCACAGGTGTGGACCATGTTTAAGGATTGCTCCCGCATTCAATTCTATGAGTAATAAGTATCCACAAGCAGTTTTCTTGGAAGTAGATGTACATCAGTGTCAGGTGAGAGAAAGGAGTCCTTTTTTTTTTTCAATGAATTTGCAAATCTGTTTGAAATTCAACATTAGTGTCATTTTTCGTTTATTTACCTCTTTTTATACATAGCACTTATTCCTTTGAAGACAGGAAATTGTGGTGGCATGATGATTACAAATGTTCTTATAATTGTATTAATTAAGGGTAGTCCAATTAGTTGCTTTAGGCTTGTTTTATTAATATCTTTCTGATATAATTAATATGTTAAGCTTAATTGGTCACCTGGCAGTTCTGTGTTTTATGTATCTTTGTTTATCTTTTGCAGATCTAAAATTGTATCTTCTGCTTTGGTTCATTAGAAAACCATCACAGAGAATTCTTGCTTATAGTTTGATTTGAATTGATCAATTTGTAATCTTAGCTCCAAAACTGCATACTCAGCAGAAACTAAAATGTTGATTACTGTTGATTGAACCACAGTGTTATAGATAGATTGCCCTTATTACTTAGTTGAAATGGCTGTGACAGTTCTTCATTTGCATATGTAGAAATATGGAAAAATATTTGTGAAGTTCCTTCTAACACTAAAAATGTCGTCTTCAGTTCTTACTAAGGAATAGCTGTGTAGCTGCTTTTTTTTTGTGTGGGTGAGGCTTTGTCTTTGATACATTTCTGAGTGTGAAAAAAATTTTAGAATGTTATGTAATTTGTAGTTAATATTTTGGGGATTTGGTGTGAGCTCTATGTACACATTGATTGTTTATGTCACATGCTACTGGACCTCAGCACTGGCCCTTTAAGTATTCACTGTCTCTAATCTAGAAGTGCTGACTTCTGGAGCTGCATTGTCTTATATGGTAGCTACTACATACATGTGGAAATGTGGCAAGTCCCACATGATATATGTTGTAAGTATAAAATTGACATAGGAATTTGAAGGCTTTATATGAAAGAAAAAATTGTAAAAATATGTCATTAACTTTTTATGTCAATTGTATGTTGAAAATGCACATAATGGATTCACTAAAACATTAAAATTGATTTCGCATATTTCTCTTTTTTCTTGTGGATACTAGAAAACTTAAGATGACATATATAGTTAACATTTGTGTTTCTATATTGGAAGCTAATTATTCTACTGATTGAAGTATTTAGCACTAGAAGTGAAAAAAATGCAGGTCTGTTCTTCATTGTGGTTGTAAGGGTAATGTAGTTGTGCTCCTTAGAAATAGGCTTGCTTTTTCTTAAATAACATTTATGGGTAAATTATTTTACATGCTTTTAGGTCATTGTTGTAATATTTAACATCCATAGAGATGTAGAATGAATACTTAAAGTGGTTTAATCTTAGTTTTAATCTGTAATGCTGTTTAACTTGCCAATTCTAGGGCACAGCTGCCACCAACAATATATCAGCAACACCTACCTTTCTGTTTTTTCGAAACAAAGTGAGAATTGATCAATATCAAGGAGCAGATGCTGTGGGATTAGAAGAAAAAATCAAGCAGCACCTAGAAAATGACCCTGGAAGCAATGAGGACACAGATATTCCAAAAGGCTATGTATGTACACTTAAAAGTGAAATCATGATTTATCTTTCATTGGTCATTATGTCTCTTCCTGTTTTATCTTTTGCTAGTTAAGAACACTTCAAATAACTTTAAATTCAGTAGCTATTTGGTTTTGTCTGTGTTGTGTGTTTTATAACCTTAAACCCTCATTCTATTTTTCCTAAATTTCACCTGATAATTTCCTTTGCCATTTATTTTTTAAATCTGCTTTCTGAACTATTTTAACTGTAACACTTATTTTGTACCCTTTTCCCCAAAAAAGTGAAGAAGTATACATTGGAAAAGTTCTCCCTTTTTTTGACCATTGTATAAAATATGTAAATTTTAATGTGTAACCATTCTATCCTGAACTTCTTTTCTTACCACTTCCTAGAGCTTTTTCCCTCTTTTTAAATTATCTCCCCTTTCTGGTACTCTAGTTGCTGATTTTGTGTAAGAATCAAATTTGACTTTAGTACTGGTTATGTTTTTCTGAGTTTTAAGAGTAAGTTATTATTCTAAATAATAACTTGAAGACTTAAGAACTTAAAGCTTTTTTGAAAATTATGTAACATCAATAGCTATAACTCACTGTCTTTATCAGCTGAGAGTTATTCAGGAAGAAAGTAAAATTCTGGAGTAATACTTCATGGCAGCAATTTGCATAAACAAAGTACTGAATTGGCAGATGAGAGGCGAACTTTTAAAAATGCCTTACCTCAAGTTAAAGCTAGTATCTGAAAGTATGTATCAAGTACATTAAAGCATATCTGTGTCATGGGGCTACAAATCCTTTTTGTTAAGTCCCTTAAATTCATGCTGAGGAAGGTGAATCTTTAGTCAGGTAACTGAGATTCTCTTTTTGTGTGAATGAGGTTGTGTTTTTAACATGTAATACAAGCACTAATTGAGTTTGTTAGGGAAATGCAATTAATACTTACTTACTTAAAAAAGAACTGTTACATGATAACCTGAAATTGTAATATCCAGTTGGAAAGTATGAACATGTATAAGTCAGAGTTGTGACACCTTTTGGAAAATTTTGGAAATCGTTTTATTTGTAAACAGCTGTGTTTACATCTTTGTTTTTTTTATTCCTATATTACGAAGGGTTTTTGCATGAAAAAGTCTTAGTCAAACAGTCCTGCTGTTTAGCTAGAGGGATACTTTACACCTCATCTGAATGTTGTACCAGCGTTTTGACCTCAGGTAGGAAATAGGCAGGAAAAAATGAAAGTTTTAAGAAATCAAAAAAATTTAGTTTTCATGCATATGTTGTGAATACATTGTGAAAGGCTATTAAAAACATTTTCATTTTTTTCCATCAGCTGTCAATAAAGATACTAAGTTTTGAAATAGAGGTTTTAGAGGTTATTAAATATTCAAAACTGGTAGTGTGTTCCCAAGAACATTATTCCTCTCACAATACAAAATAAGAGTAAGAGTCAGTGAATGAAAACCTGTACCTTAAGTAGATTTAAATGTAAGCTTAGCAAAAATATATTGACAATTTTTAAGTAAAATTTTGGGTTTCTTGGCATAAAGACCTTTAGTCCTTATGTAACACTAAGAGACTATGCAGTTACTGATTTTACACCTCCTGTCCTTTTAAAACTCCTGAATTGATAGGAGCCAGAGTAAAAGAGAACACATATCTACTTTAGAGGAACATGTATCTACTTTAGAGGGGTTTAACTTATTACAAAAGATGTGGGTATGATACTCAAAAGGTTAAGATTTATAGTGGAATCTTATTCAGTTGTTAATGTATTTGTGAACATAATGACTTTTAGTTTTTAAAATGTTTATTGAAGTTGGGAAAATTCAAAAAGTCTATCTTTTCTCTCCTGTATTTGTTAAGAGTACCTAGCTTCAAATGAGGGGGGCTATTAATATCGAGTCTTCCTCTCAAGAAGTTTGAATGCTAGGTGGAATGGAATTGAACTTGTACTTGCGTGTCTTCTGAATCTTGATATATTTTAATATTCTAACCGCTAACTATAGATTTTGCTCTGAAATTGTTCATTAATCAAAAAGAAATCAAATATTAAGGGACCCTAATTTGTGCTGTAAGGAAGGAAACAGATCTTTCTACCAAAAGCTTCAAGCATGGAAAGGTATTTCTAACTTAACGTGTGTTTCATGTTAGATTTTGTGTCCTTGTAAAAAAAAAACAATGAAATTTATTTGATATAAGAGTTAGAGTAGTACAGTAAATACATATACCACTCATCTGTGTTCATCAGTTGTGAATATTTTCCTATTTTTTGCTCTGTCTTGATAGGTTCTACTTTTATCTCCTACACAATCATTTAAAAGCAAGGAATATAGATATCATGATTATTCCTCTATAAATATTTTAACATGTAGTTTCTAACAGCAAAAACATTCTCTTGTACAACCACAATGCCGTTATCACTCCTAAGAAATTTAGCATTGATAAAATATCTCTAATGTACAGCCTACATTCAGATTCTCTAATCATCTCCAAATATCTTTCATAGTATTTTCCCCACATCTAGGATGAAATCAAGGATCATACATTGCATTTGTCAGTTCACTTTAGTGTTTTTTAGTCTAGAAACTTTCCTCTTTTTTCTTTCATGACTGCCTTTTTTGAAAGTTTAAACCAGCACCAGTCTAATGTAGCAGTCGTAGGCACATGTGGCTATTGAGCATGTGCAACTGAGGAACTGACTTTTTAGTTTTATCTACTTTTAGTTAATTTAATTTGAAATGGCCACATGTGGCTAATGGCTATCTTATTGTACAGTTGGGTCTAGATCATCTGTCTTATAGACTGTCCTATAATCTGGATTTATCTGATTGTTTTCTCATGATTCTTTCCTCATTATTGGCAAGTTGATTATACAGACAGTGATACTTATTTCCAATTGCATATTTTCAGATTATGGCAACCTGCAGTTATATAAGATATATAAAATATAATGGCATTTTGTCCCAGGGTTGAATAACAAAGCATTTTAATGCAGTTGTTTGAACGGGAAACTTGTTTTGTGTGCCCCATGATGAATAAATATACAAACTTTAGATAATTTCACCTGTTTAGTTTAGTGTTGTTATTAGGATATAAGAAGTATAACTGCAGTATTGTCTTCATGTGTGGGCTCTTAATCCTAGACAAGAGTATTGAAGAGGCATCTTGGTAGGATGGGAGACATAAACATTTAAAAGATTTTGTCAAAATTTCCCTTTTAAGGCAAATGTTCATGAAGTTCAGCATCACTCCACAACAGAGCTTTGTTCCAAAGCACTACTTTTCTCTCCCTCTCCCCTTTTTGAATTGGCTATGATACGTAATGAGTAATAATATTTAGCCTTTAATACAATGGACCATTTAATATAATACAAAATATTTTGGCTTTGATAGTATTTAGGCTACTCCATGATTATTTAGGGGTCTGTTTTAATGGATTGTTAATAACATGTTGGTACTTGCTTGACATGTAAACAGTTTCCTTTAGTTTTTCATTACTGTATATACATGCATTAGTATATTCCTGTACAAAAATAATAATAGAGTCTTTGTAATATAAAGGTGAACATGCAACTAATAATTTATAATACTTGTTAACCTTTAAAAATATCCTTATTTAGCAGATGAAATGTATTCTTTTCTACAAAAATAGAACTTGTCACGATCAACTTCTCTAGAAGTAGAGCTCCTAAATAGACCAGTCACTATAAAGAATACAATAAAAGAGCAGTTCCATGAAGGCCAAGATAATTTCACAGGGAAATTCTGCAAAAGCTTTAAAAATCAGATAATCTAATGTTATTGCAACCACTTAAGACCCACATATATAAGGAGAGAAAATGTCCACAATTCTTTTTGAAGTAAATATGACATACTCAGAATCTGACCAAGTTTGCACCAAAAAAGAGAGCTACTAGCTAGTTCTAATTAGGTACTGGTGTAAAAATCTTAAATAAAATAGTAGTAAACAAAATCCAGCAACCTAGAGGAGAAAATCTTGATCTCCTAATGCAGGAAAAGCATTTGACAGAATTCAGTAACTATTTATTCCTAAAGCATTCAATAAGATCTTAATAGGGAAGCACTAGAGGCATTCCCACTAAAATCAGAAGCAGGACAGGGATGACTGCCGTCACGATACTCTTCGGCATTGTATTCTGTTAGCCAACACAAATACCGAAGATGGGAAACTGTTAAATGACACCACAGGGAAACAGCAAAATCTGGAATATAGATCATTTTCCATGATCTATATCTATATAGATTCCATGATCTATAGCCATGTAGCCTATACTATGATGCCGTAAACATGATTGTATAGGCTACATGGCTATAGATTTAAAAGATTTAAGAAATATATTAACCAAGTACAGTGTCTATTCTTTTTTTGAATCTGTAGTCTAATCATTCAACTATAAAGAATTTATAAGACAATTGAAGAAATTTGAAATTTATGTTTGCTAATATTAAAGTATTACTGTTTTAGTTGTGTGAATGTTGAAGTTTTTGTTTTTTAAAGTCTTCATCTCTTAGAAATGTTAGTGAGTACACTGACATGTTCATGAATTAAATGAAAACATGTCTAAGATTTACTTGAAAATAATCAGGGTCAGGGGTAGGGACTGATTATGGGATAAAGATGAAGTCAAGAGTGATCGTGAGTTTGAGATTGTAGCTGGGAAGTGGGCATAGAGGTTCACTGTATTTTATTTATGTATGTTTGAAATTTTCCATAATAAAAAAGTTTTTAATCCTTATTGCTGTTCATCTTAAATTTGAACTCTTCATAGATATATGTTGAAAAGAGTGCATGGCTCTAGAAGAGGGAGGTAGACTTTCTTTGGATCCTACAAGTACTTTAATTTGCATATTTTCCATTGCAGGACAGTCATTTAAAAAGTGTAAGTCAACATTTTATAATCTTAGTGTTCCAGGCTTGGTTTTTGATACCTTATTGAGTGGGCTAAGCCTAGATTTGACTTTAATAACTAGTGTTAGATCTCAGAAATTCAAAAGAAAGATTATTAATATAAAAGTTTTGGTTACTAATTTAGGAGAGATAGTGTCTTCAAAATTGCCTAGTCTAAAATCACATATTTACATTTCTTACCAAGATTTTTGTACCAAATACAAATGCTTTGCCTAAAGTCTTAATTTAACTATTTCAGATGGATTTAATGCCTTTTATTAACAAAGCTGGCTGTGAATGTCTTAATGAAAGCGACGACCATGGATTTGACAACTGTTTACGAAAGGACACGACCTTCTTGGAATCTGATTGTGATGAACAGGTGATTGAATTGAAGGCTTGTAGGGATGATCATTACTTGTGCCCACTTGTTTCTTTATCAAGTTTCTGTCTTCTTCCCAGATGAGCACTTCTTCCTTTCCTTTTTATAGGTCTTAGTTTCTTTGGCCCCTGTCCTTTGACGCTGCAGGCCATGACCTTACTGTGGTCTATGTGAGCTCCCAGGGGCAATACAGAGAATCATCAGACTCTTGAAGTAATCCCTCTGCTGAGTTGAGCTTTCACTTCTCTTAAGTCCATTTGTTCATTCTTGACCTGCTTTCCATCCATTTTACCCAACCAGATGAATTTGTCCCTGAAAAATAGAGGCTAATTAGATGAACATTGCCTTATAGTCCTTACCCCCAGATGTATACGTGAATTGTACTTCCCTAATCCCTACATTGTCACAGAGGAAGCAGTGTGGTACTGCTTTGATCATCTTGACTATTGCTTTCCTTAGTTTACTTTCTACTCCACTGTCTCTGCATTGTTTCCATTCCAGTCCATCTTAGGCATGTTTATAAAGTTTTTTTACCAAAATACAAATCTGATCACGCTTCTCTTTGTTAAAAGAGTTACATGATTCTTCTTCATTGACATTAGGAAGAGATGTCATATTCTTGCTGACTTGATGTGTTTCTAGCTTTCCACTCTCATCTCCTCTTCACCTGTGATTCAAGCCCCTAAACATGTCATACTTACTATTTTTTGACGCATTATCACAGGTCAAGTATATAAAGTACTTACGTAGTTGAAGGAAATAGTGTAGGTGTTTTCATAGGCAGGCAGACCACAATGATTCTGAAATCATATCCAAACCCTGTCTTTCTTTGCTCCAAGCAGAGTTACCTTATTCTGTAGCTTTGAGGATATCATTCACATTGTGCTCCTTGTAAATGGTGCCCTGAATATAATGTGATACACATCATCTAGACTGGCTACAACTTCCTGGAAGTCTTCCTTCTAGGGTAGAAGCATAGGTACTTACAACAGACACAACTTCAGCTAGAAAGAAGATGGAGTGAATGAATCAGTTTCTGAGAGAGAGGTATTCTCAGTTTTTTTCTCAGACATTGTTTTGTATCCCAGTTCCCTTATATGACCTTCCAAATTCAGTTAGTCAAATAAATTTAGGATGGAGGTTTGGAGGTTACTGTAGAGCTCTAAGAGTCCTACTTTCTTGAATTTGGCATCAAATAGAACCTTTTGAGAGCTAGTCTCTCGACGTAACCTGTGCAGTATCTCCAAATTGTCAAATGTTGATGCTTGATAAGTGTCCTAGAAAACTTTAGGCTTATTTGCTAAACTGTATAGTTCAAGTTTTAATTTGGAGGTTTGGTTTTTTGGGAAAGTAGATTGTTTGCCACTTTGTAGGTAATAAGACTGTAGGTTTTTGCACATAATTTTAGTTAATTTTGTCAGTTCCTTATAAATAATAGATTATTGTATTCTCAAATATCAGTCTAATCAAGTTACTGTCAATTTACTGATTTTACATATTACATTGGTTTTGGTGGGTGAATTAAATTTTTTTCTGCCTCTGAATGAAGCGTTTTAATTCTGCTTAGCTATTGTGTATATTTAAGGTGTTCAAAAGCCCTTTTAAGATGAAAGTATTTTCTTCACAGCTACTCATTACTGTGGCATTCAATCAACCTGTTAAGCTTTATTCGATGAAATTTCAAGGGCCAGATAATGGTGAGTAACGGACAGCTTTTCTTTAACTTTCTGTTCTATAGCTCTGTTAGCACATATTTAAAACTTTTTATGACATAGAGGTAGATGTTCTTTGTTTTGGGAAAGAGTAAAATTGTTTTTAGAAAAAGCAAGGGTATAGTTGAATGGGCAAATGTGAGGTTCTTAGGGACTGAAAGTAAGAAAAAGGAAACTTTTCACCTTATTTCTAGAGCTTTTTATTTTAGAATTTAAATTCCCTCTTAATCTAAAAATGAGGGAACCCTTTCTTCCAACTATTCTAAAACTCCAGGTTTGAAGCAACCATTTTTTAGGATCAGAACTGGGGTGGATTTATTTCAAACTCCTCCAAAAGATGATAAACCTAAGGCTCTGTATCTTCTATTTGTGATCAATTAGTTTCATTTTCTTTATACATACTATGATGCCATAAACATGATTGTACAGACTTAGCATTTCTCTTTTTATTAAATAAAGGTTTCTCCCCCTTTTTCTGTTTATGTTGTGTTTTTTTGGGGGGTGGGTAGTAGTAGGGACTAGGGTTTTTTTTTAATCGATGGTGAGAAACAGCCAGCACCCTTTTATTAGGTAGTGTTTCCTTCTCATTTGTTATGCTAAATTTTCATGCATTAGTGATTTCTTCATTAATAAAATTGTATCTTTATTCTGAAAAAAAGAAGTAGTTAAAAAAGCAGGTGCTGTAGAAATGGTATTTAAACAATGTGAATATCTTAAGATTCCTCAATCAGTAAAATATGAATCTAGGATTGTACCTTGAAGTTGAAGGAACTAAGACATTCCATAAATGTGAGCTCACCACTGAGCACATCCTAATCCCTAAGATTAAATTTGGCAATTTGTATAATTAATTTCCTTTTAACTAAATGTTACACTGCTAATTGTTCCTAAATAAAATGTACAAATTGTTGACAACTGGAAGACCCAGTTCAAATGTTACTACTTTTATGAAACTTGTTGTTAACCTGTAGATATTGTCAGAATCCACTGTCACCTTCCCCATAACCTCCTCATTTGTAGTATTACATTTACCATAATATGTCTTTGTAGTTGAGGGCAAGAACTCTATATGTGCATACATATATATGTGTTTTAATCTCAGATTCTTAGTATAATGCTGGCAGGCCAGGAATATACCAGCAAATGTTTTTTGGAAATAAAAAATGGTTATGAAAATAATGAGACTTACAATTCCTAAAGACACAGGGTAGGTATGTGTGTATATGTGTCTGTTATAGTGTGGACATAACTATAAAGGGAAGAAAGTACTGTATGTTAGATAAAGGGAAGAAAGTACTGTATGTTTGGCTTTAGCATTTAATTTTTCCCTATCATTTTATAGGTCAGGGTCCTAAATATGTAAAAATTTTTATCAATCTGCCCCGATCTATGGATTTTGAAGAGGCAGAAAGAAGTGAGCCAACTCAAGCTCTGGAACTAACAGAGGATGATATTAAAGAAGATGGCATTGTCCCACTTCGTTATGTTAAATTTCAGAATGTTAACAGTGTAACTGTAAGTAGTGTTTGATTTAGATATATTTAATGGGTTTTTGGGTAAGAATTCATGCTCTCTTTAGTATTCTAAGTGATTTAAAATGATCCTTTAAAGTAGTTCACTTTGGTTTGAACGTCCACTTGGTTTGAAATGAGGAAAATGTATAATGAGCTAATTAAATTTTCCAATTTTTAATTTATCTCTGTGCCCCAAAGAAGGGCAGGTTGATTTTTTTGAATTTGTGGATTTGTCAGTTTACGAATTTTATATGTATTTGGCATCTTTTGAGTTTGTTCTAGAACATTTATACTTAACTGAAGATATCTATGCTTTATTCTTCATACTTCATGATGAGTGATGATACATTTGTAAAATCCATTTTACTTTCCTCGAGTATAGAGTATTAATTGTCATGATCTCAGTAAAAATGACTTTTTAAAAAGATCTTAATTATCTTCTTAAAAAGTTAATTTTATGTTATTTTAATTTACTTAAAGAAATCAGCTGTTTCTTAGCAGTTATTAATTGCTTTTGAGAATTTTAATATTAAAACCCCAGCACATGTTCTACAAACCCCACCCCCAACTCTGGCCCAGTCCTTCAGAGGAAGGTGTAGGAGGGTTAGAATAGAATAGTAGAATACCTAGAGAAGAGTGGGTGGGAATCAGCACAAAGTCAGGGAGAACAGGTCACTACCAAACTAATGTGATTTCTTAGTTTTAATTGAATAATTCTAGGATGTGCTAATTTTAAGACATTTTCAATGGATTTTACAAATACACTTAGTAAGATAAGGACTTATAATTAAGTTTTTGAAATATTCTATCCAAGTGAAATTGAAGAAAATGATAATATTAAGCTAGGACACTGGTTATCAAATATTTTCCTGACTTTGCTCTTTTTTGTAACTTATCAGTTATAATACCAGTTGCTTTATTTAGTGATGGCAGGAAGGCATTTGTTTATTGGACAAAAAGTCCTTTCAGTCCAGAGATCCTGATCATCTCTGTTATTGCAAATAACTGAGCGTATTACCTTGCAATAGGCCCACGTCTTTATTGTACTGTGTTATTTGTCCCATGTCAATCAAAATTTTAGTCAGTGACTTCAATCAACATAAAACATGCCTGTCACTTTTTTTGGTGATAAAATTGATATCAAAATAACAGTTTTGATCAGAAAGTCTAATCAAAGTAAACATGAATTTTAAAAGCAGTAAATACAAACTGTGGTGCTGAAGTTCAAAGAGCAAGTAAATAAATAGCTGATTTAATATTCTTATTATAGACTTGGGGTTTTAAATAGATAAGCTCAATTTGAGATGAATCTGTAGTTGCTTATGAAAACAGTAAACACTGACTAATGAATGCCGTCTGAGAATGAAAGAAGTATGTTGTCCAAATCAAAAGAGGAAATATTTTTAAGTAGGCTACACTATTGTCTTTTTAACAATGGTGCAAAAAAAAAAGCCAATTTTTCTTTAAAGAAGGATCTATGGGTAAAGCTTCTGTCTCCTAACATGCTAAGGGAAGGTTTTTTTTTGTTGTTTTTTCCTCCTAAGGGAGGTTTTTAAATAGAAAGTATAAAGAATCAAGCTTAACAAAATATGCACAGCATGGTATAGTTTTAGGATCTGATTTCTAATGCCATTTTTTTCTTTTAATATTTTAGGACATTGAATGAATAAATATAAGAAAGACTGTAACTACAGAGAGTTTTTCAGTGAAAAACTATCATTCATTAAAATTTCAACAGCAGTCTGCCCATTGTAATTATGAATTTACTCTTTCAGCATTCTCTGTAAAGAATTTAATTATGATCCCTCCACACCACAGTAAATTATTAGGAACTTGTATATGTGAATATTGTGACATGACATCCCTGGAGAAGCTGAGACTAGCAGGGCAAACAGTGGAATTAATAGTACTATAGGATTACAAATCTAGATATAATTTGGATTAATCCTTACAAAGAATGGAAGGTTTTTAAAAATAATCTAAGGAAATCAGCTAAAATTAAAGCATGTTTATAAAAAAAAGGACTGTAATCGTTAATATAAAACCATTCTTTTTGGTAGATATTTGTTCAGTCCAATCAAGGTGAAGAAGAAACAACAAGAATTTCATATTTTACATTTATTGGTACTCCAGTCCAGGCAACGAATATGAATGACTTCAAACGAGTAAGTCTATTTAAATGATATTTAGGGAAAGTCAAAATATAATCAAAAATAATAATTTCATAAGTATCAAAATCATGTCATGAAATTTTATATGGTTAAACTATAGAACAGTAAGTTCTACTAACCACATTTTTAGTTAACTAAAAGAAATCTCTAATAAAAATAAATTCTGCTGATAGAGCGTCTGTTAATGAATGGCATCCAAGTAAAAGTAAAAATAATGCGTTATGGAAAGTAGTTAGGAATAATTGAAAACATGGGAGTTAAGCCATTATTAGTGAAATTTTGCTAATAACTTTGCTGATATTAAGATTTTGATTATCATTCTTTCTGATGAAAACATACTTAAATGTCAAAAAATTTTAACCAGAAAGAATGGACTCAGTTTTATTGCACGTGAGATACATTCAAACAATATCTGTTTGCTTAGAGAATGCATTTAAGGAAATAAATTTTCAGTAAACAGGCAGATTATATATATATATATGTTTTTTTGTTTGTTTTTTAAGGACAGAATCCTAAGGTTTGCAAAGAATTTAAAAGGTACATGGGAACTTTAGGAATGGGAACATTTTGTACATTCATGGAACTACTTCTAATTGGTAGCACTTACGTAGGGTGGATCTTAAAATATACAAGCACAGATCATAGAAGTGCCACCAAGAGCTTTACAATTCAGAACTCGGTTGCTATACTAGATTAAGGGTTCAGCAGCAGCACAGAGGTAGGTATCACTGATTCTGATGGCTGCACCTGGCAGGCCGTCTGGAACTTGAGCTGATAATAAGAGAGAGTTTTCCTAGAGTTGCCAGTGCTTGAAGGGAGAGGCACCAACTTAACAATTTAGAGCCTATTTGGGGAATTGGAGCCATGGAACATCCTAAAAACTCTTAATCTTTTTGATAGTATCTACATTCAATTACAGAAAAAGTCATAAAATTACATAATAGTATGTGTGCTTATAAAAAATTGTATGCTGTTTTTACAAAATTAATAACCTTGTCAATAGATATTTTAACTGGTCATTTTTCAAATACTATCTCCTGTCTCACAGCATAATTAAATTTTTGGAGCTGTAGGAACAATTATGTACTTAGATCTGTCATGTCAAATGTTTGACATATGTATAATGACAGGTCAGAAGAAGCAGAGATTAAACATCTACATTTTTATGATATGAAATATGCTGTACTGGGAAAATGTGTGAGCATCAAAGACGTTTTGGCTGCCTACTTGTTATTTTGCCTGTGTGAATTAAATGGAATTGGATTTGGCTTTAACTGTGTCATGCATAGTTTGTTTTTAGCTTAATTCTGTCATAAGATCTGTTATCTATTCTTATTTTCTGGTACCATTAATTTGGCTCTAGTTTCTTGCTTCTCACCTCAGCTTATGGTATTTTATATTTGTTTTCTAAGTAACTACTACTCTATCTTGTCCATCTTCTTACCAGCCTGCTGATTGGTTACATTTTTCTTATATGCATTAATAATTGTCCATCTAAGAATCTGTCTCCACCTCTGACATCCTCTCTTCCACCCCTTGTAGTCTTGTTTTTCTCTCCTTGACTACTAAATACCTTTTTTTGGACTGTGTAGAATAGCAAAGGTGCTAGACTTTTCTTGCTTTAGAGAATTTGTGTCTGTTTTAAAATTTGTGTGTTTAAGTACTTTTTACCTTAAAATTACTGTAGAGCAATAGTTCTTAAATTTTTTGGTCTCAGGACTCTTACATTAGTATTACTGAGGACTGAAAAGAGCTTTACATTTATGTGGGCTATATTTATTTAATGTTTACCACTTAAGAAATTGAAACTGAGAAATTTAACAAGTATTTATTTACAAAAATAAACTCACTCTATGTCAACATAAATAATATTTTAAAATTAAAATCCATATTTTCCAAAACAAAAGTCAATTTAGTAAGGAGCATTGTTCTATACTTTTACAAATTTGTTTACTTTCTAGCTTAATAGAATCCTCTCATTCTCTCATCTGCTTTTGTATTCAGTCAGTTTTGCTATCATAGGTTATGTAGCTTCTGGAAAACTCTATTGTATGCTTGTGAGACAATAGAATCAAGAAGGCAAATAACAATTAGCATTATTATGAAAATAGTTTAGACCTTAAAAGACTCCCTTGAAAGGGCCTCAGGGACTCCCAGCCTAGACCACACTGAGAACTGCTGCCAGAATAATTTAATACTGTCATGGACTCTATTTTTGGTATTCTGGACTTCTTAGTCTCTTGCTTATAATGTTTGATAAATTTTAATTGGTTAAATAATCTGGTATATATTAATATCATATTATACTTCCTTTGAATAGTTTGTAAATAAGATTTGTTCTGTTTGTTTCATTCATTTTCCAGTAGGGTTATTCCTCAAAAATAAGCTAATATTCCAGTGTTTTTTAATACTGTGCTAAGTCATCAACTTTAATTTATAAAAGTTAACACGTCTTATTGAAATTGGCCAATTTGGTCCTCATATAGGTAGAGTCATTTTTTAAAAATTGTAAATGAGTTTGGTCTTTAGTAAAGGAAATGGAATGGTACAGTCATAATTCTTATCTAAACCAAGTTTATATTTTTAAAGGATAATGCACAAAAAAAATGTAAAGTTAACAGTTGAAGGCTCTTCCTCCAGAGTATTCTTACAGTGCAGTGATATTTCCTTCTCCCCAAAATGGCTGGGAAAGCATGAGTATTTTGTACAGAAAGAGGGCCTTGAACTAAACTTTGGGAATGCAAATGGGTAGAGGAAAAGATAGCAATGGACACTCTAGATAGAATGGAAAATAGGAACTTGGTCATGAAAGTGGGAAGGTGCAAGAGTCATTCAAGGACAAGTCAAGTATGGCACTTCTTTCACCTTACATATTTAGTCAGTCAATTTCAAATTTCAAAATAGATTTGGCATGCAGTTACTAGCACAGAGGCACTTTTGATACCTGTTCATGTAGTGAAGAGAGCTTTATAAAAGTTTAATGAATGATAAAATAGAATTGAAGAGCATTTTCAGTTTATCTTTGTACATTACGTGAATTGTTTCTGGATAATTTTAGTTCTGACAATGACATTTGACCATCTCTTATCACTAAGATGATAGAAGCTAAGGTAATGCTGATGAATCTTAGATGTGACCAAAATTCTTAGACCACTTTGCATGCTATTAAAACTTGATAAAGTATACTAAAGATTTGGGAGACTAGAACACACCTTTCACTTGTCTGTTTTTGGCCACTATAGGCATTGTGCACAAATTATAATACACACTTGGGTTATTTGTTGTTGTAAATGGATTGTTTGTGCTTCAGCATGAAAAGCTTGCTGTCTTAATTGGAAGTAGATGTTTTCTTTGCTGAAATATGCTCTTTACGTGGACTGCTTTATTTTAATACAAAAGTAATGAAATATAAGTATATAAAAGTGAGCAAAATTGAGGGGGCTTCTGCTTCTAAGGGAATGAGGTGCATGTGAAAAGCAGAGCCGATTTTCTACCACTGTAATAGAGATTTTTTCTAAACTGGCCATTCACCATATCAGCTATTTTTATAACATTTCTGTCTGTTTATTTTTCAGCTTTTTTAATCCAACTCAAATGAACTAAAAACAGAAGATTTTAAAAAATGAAGTAATATAAAGATTGACCTTATCTCACTCTACTCCCCTCCTTGCTTCTCTGCTCACCTAGCGCCTGTCTGCTCTCACCCTTCCCATGTTCTCGCCATTGTTGGTGCAAGATTTCTACAGCTTCCATCATCTGGATCAGCCTTCTTGTACCTCCATTTCCTCAACCATCTCTTTCTTCATATCTTGTTCTAGTATGTTTTTCAGTTGGCCTTTTGGTTTTTGTTTTGGGCTAGCAACCAAGTGCTTTAATTTCATTACCATACTGTGTTGCTCTCCCTACTTCTGTTTTTTTACTTTCTCTCATTTAGTTTTGTACTACATTTTGAGAAATAATGCAGTAAAACATGCACTGTTGTAAATGCTTTTATATTTAACTCATTGTTGGATAATGTTTTAATCCAATCTAAAGTCTAAATATTATTTTTTAGGACTATAGAATTGTTTTGGAAGTCAATATGAAAGTTTAAGTTCTCTTACGGTAGTACTAGTATCATATATTGATGAGGCTGTAGTTGAGACGTGTGAGTTTTCTCATTGGAACTGTTGCCCAGTTGTCTTTTTGCTGATTAATTGTGGATGTGTCCTCAGCTTTGCCTACCCAGCTGAGCTCAAGGCCAGTTGAAAGACTTAAGAACTGAATATTAAGGCTTGGTTAAAATAATAACAGAAGATCAATGGACTGAACAAATGTTTTTGACACCTAATTTTTATGTACCTAGATTTTTGTTTCTCTGAGGTGTAATAAAAAGACAAAAATGAATAAAACAGCTCTACATTTGGGGTGAGAAAATCCAGTTGGAATGCTGAATCTCTTCTTTTTTACAGAGAATACACATTGGCAAGTTGAGAGTTATCAACCTGTGAAACAGTATGCAGATTTGTGTCTTCTACTGTATCACATTTGCTAAAATTTAAAATTTTAATATTGGTTGTTTTGTTTAATCTAATAGCTGTGTGTTTTGTGTGTTCCCAAGTGATATACTCAATAATGCTTTCTGTGCTTATCTGCTTAAATTCATTTGTGATACAGATAGTGCCATCTCCCCCCCTTTTTTAAGAAGGCTTCTCTTGGGTCTTAAAATCTGAATTTCTTACTCTTACCCATGTACTCTTTTATGAGATGCTTTCTGGCATCTTTTTTGCCTTTGGACTTTCTAACAAATGTTTTCCTTAGATCAAAGACATCTTTTAAGATAATAAAAGTGATTTTCTTTAAGGTGGGAAAAACAGCATTTCTAACATCATTTGATTGGGAAAGGCTTTTATAATCTTTGTCATGAATTATATTAACTTAACCATGTTCTGTTATAAACCAGACATGTACTGAAGAACTTTGAGTTTTGCTTGGTTCAGACACTACCATTTTGGAACGAATCAATTTAAAATATGAAAACTGCATCTATACAAATCTTCATAAAAATCTTTTTACATACAAATATATAATAGTTTGCAAACAGATTTCTTTGGAGGCATTTCTGCTATGAGAATACATTATCTAATGATAAACTCTAAGTTTGAAGTAAATTATTTGCTTAGAACATAGTTTTGGAACCCTCCCACGGAATTTTTCTAAAACCTTGGTAGAAGTCAAGTTTAATCTTTGCATTTTTTTGCTACCACATAAATAGCAACTAGGTCATTTTGAACACCCTCCAACAGAGAATTTTTCTAATCATTGTCAGAAACAAGATTTATTCTTACATTTTTTATAGTACATTTGTAGCAACCAAAGTTTTTTAAAAATAGAAACTAGGCAGAATTAGTCATTTTTAATCTGTTTTCATTGCATGTCTACATATTGAAAGAAAAGTCTAGAAACCTGTCATCTTGGGCATGAAGACATAAGTTTAGCATACTTTTTTAATTCTAGATTATTTTGTGATCGACACTTGATTTCTAATTGCCTAAAAATAGTATGACAAATATGTTTCACTCATATAGCATCATCTTTTTATTAACTTCTCTAAACTGTCAACCTTGTTTTGAAAAATTGCATTACTTTTTCTTTAAACAGTGTGGAAAACCAAAAATAGCCTGCATGTGTGTGTTTTTATTTTTTTAATTCCTTGAGGCTGGGAAGGGAGGGAGGGTCCCAGTTTGCTTCAACAATGAAAATACACTGCATGCCAAAAAAAAAATGCAGGGATAAAAATACCAGGTTTTAAAGATGATTACCAATTAGCTATATTATTTTGTAAATAACACATTCTAAATAAGTAAGATGTATGTATAAAGTTATATTTGTTTTTCTAGGTTGTTGGCAAAAAAGGAGAAAGCCACTAAGGTACAAAAGGCACTGGAAGACCATGTTGCAATCAGATCTACAGCTCCTGGATAATTGCTTGATTCTCATCAGAGACTGTCAATATTCCATGCATTGCCATTATCAATAAATCATTGCTTTTGTTCAGATGGTATCACTAGTGTTTTTATTGTAATCTTGATACATGCAGTTGTAAATAAAAGTCATTACTTTTGCCAAGCTTAATTTTTGTCAGTCTAAATAAGTATTTTTTCTTTTCGTTTATCTGAAAATTGGCCAACTTTTGATTTTCAAAGAAATTCAAAAGAATCTGGAAGCATATTGATTCAAAAGCCAGTTTCTTTAGAAGACTAAAACTTTTAGGGAATTAAGCAGTGAATGTGCGCTCATATGCACGTACACATACAGAGCAAGTACTTTGATACATGGACTTAGAACACTCAGCCAAGTTCAAATGAGTACTAACTCCTAAGTTTATTGCATAATATTTGGGTCATCTAGGCTATAAAAATTGCTCAAATTATAAACTACTATAAATATGCAAGTTTAATGAGATTTAATTGTTCTCACCTAAAACTGTTAGTTAATGGGACCACAGATTTTAATCCCTTCTGGATAAACTTTAAAAATTTTGAGTCAGCCATTTACTGATAGAGGTATGTTAAAATCTGACAGTAGGGAAAAATACAGTACTATGAATTTATGAAACAACAGGAATTAATATCTTCTAATGAAGTATCTATTATCTTAACTGCTAAAAAATGCAGTGTAAATATACAGAGGTTGATTTAAGGTTGAAAATGAAATGGCCACATGTGTATGTTTAAAAGGTCTTTCAGAGAAGGCTGGCAAAACAAAACATCTGTTCATGATTACTTTTTTAAATCTTAAAACTAATTTAGCAAGTACTGGTAAACTTCATTTCTAAATTTCTCTGAGAATTAAAAAGTCAGTGTTTGAACAGTACATAAGACTGTATTCATCCTGATAATAACATTTGAGGGCATTTTGGTCTAGGAAAATATGGTTGAGAATAGTGTTTTGCCTTTGGAAGGCCAATGTGTTTATAGACATTAACAAGAAAATTATGCAGAAGTTTTTGTGTTAAAATAGTCACTTTTCTGAAACCACAATGTCATTAGATAATTGTTTATTCATTCCTTTGTATGTGAACACAGTAAGTGGTCTGTGGTAATCTGTGTATCTTATGTATTCCATAATTATGTTGCCTTGGGTCAAGTGGAGGCAAAAAGGCAAGAAATAGAAGTTTGTAACACTTCTTAATATAGACCATTTCAGATTTATCACATCTGAAATTAAGGGTAAAACTAGTATCAGGAGTTTTTTTTTACACTGACTTTTTTGGGTAATTGGTAAAGTGCCTCATCTTAAGTATTGCTGGCCTCATCCTATTTATACTTGATAATTTGAAAATTCAGCAAAAGTAATTTCATATTTGTAAAGGATTTTCATCAGATTTATATTGTTTATGTGATTTTTCTATAACTCAACTGGTTGACTTATGCAAGCATTCCATAATAATTCAAACTGTAAATAATGGAAAAATGAATGTTTATAGGTAACTGTAACATTTCACTATGGGAAAGTTTTACAAAAAACATGCATAGTTGACATTATTTAAATTACCAAGCCAAAATGCTGATATTTTCTCCTAAATCTGTGTGTATGTATACATACACACATACATATATATTACATATTTATAAATACAGTACTGAATTTTCAGATGAATAAGAAATATACTGAATTTTCCAGATGAATAAGAACATTTGCAAATTGTAACCCTAGTTATTTTAACCAAAACCGTTAAGAAAACGAATGCTAGGTTTCTTGTTTGTTTTGTCAGATCTAGCAAAAACAACACCCCATAAAACTGCTCTTGATTTTGCTAATTTTCTGTTTCAAACCAGGATGCATTATTTGATTTGGAGCAGTAATGAAATACCCTGTTCATAACAAACAAAGGCATTTCAGTACCAAGTTTTGTGTCAGCAGCATGAGGCGGAAAGCAAGAGTAGCACAGGCTACCACACTCTTGTGCCCGTGGCAGGCTGTTGTGATCCATTTTAGCCAAATTGTCCTACAATCTCCTGTTGGAGGTAGCCACTTATTTAACAGTCTTTGGGAGTGGATATGTGAGTTGAAACCTGTCCTCCATCTTTGTCTCTTTGTCATCTCTGTCACTTAAGTGATGAAATTCGAAATAGGTGTATGAATGGGATCATCTAGAGAGATACAAAGGGGAAGAAGGAAAATGAGCAAGAATTAGGGAAATATAATGGACCAAATACTAATAAATAAAATGGAATTAGCAAAAGAGGAGCATGGCAATCAGGATTACACAGGAATGTAGAAGGCAAAAGGATGAACTGATAAAACGAATTAAAGGGAGTAGTCATCAAATGGAGAAACGCTGAAATTAGGGAAAACCCAATTGTCAATCCATTAAGTTGTGGAAACAGTCTTTGTAGTGCTTGATATTAGAATCATTATCATGAATAATCTTTTGGTTGAAGAGGGCATCATCGATGATTCTGAAATCCTGACAAATCTAGAAGTTTTCATAGCCTACCATTGAACAGTTTTCCATGACAGCAAGGCGTGAAGACTGATGGTAACATTTCATAAGAGAATATGAAACATTGTTTTGAAGCTATTAAAGATTTTAGTCTTTCCTTGTAATCATGCGCTTTTTTCCTATATTTTTCTTGTAATTATATATTTGTCCTATCCTTCAATCTAGAACATTCTTTCATGACTACTTTTATTCTCTTAAAAGTTGCTAAATTCACAAAGATGATTGCTCTGTCAGTCCTAAGTGCATTACTTAGGTCCCTTAGTAATAATATCTGTAATTTTATAGGGTAGTACTGAATCCATACATTCTTAAAACCTGTTCTTCTGTGTTTTTGTGTAATAGGAAATTTCACTAGAACCCTATAATCTCCCTGTGACCAAGGGTAGTAAAACTGGTGCAGTTTCAGTTCTCTGGCCACAGTTCTCTCAGTCAACACATTGACAGCACTCAGAATGCTTTTGCTTGCTTAGCCTTAACTGCAGGTGACTTTTAAGCTTAAAGAATGAGAATTTAACTCAAAAAAGGACCGTCGCAGGGAGACAGGGTGTAAGTGCATAGACCAACTAATACCCCTGGGATAGGCTTGTGCAGAAGTAAATACGTGTCCATTAAAATGTGAGGTGAAGAGGTATCACTTCAGCTGATTTTTTTGTTTGAGCCTAGCAATTGCAAGGGGAAGAGATTTTAGTGTTTACATTTTACGTTTAAAATTTTCCTGGGATTTAAAAATTCTTAATCTACAATTTATGAGAGGAAGCTTTGTTGCTTTTTTGCTGACCAATTCAAATATGGAATCCATTGAATTTGGGAAGTGCTGAAAACTTTAGTCCAACATACTTTTCAGAGTGCCCTAATGCAGTTGTTATCAGAAATTTCTTTATTATATGA